GGAATTTATATAGAGATTTATACAAATATAGGGATTATCAATTTTCACGTTTTTTTATTATTCAGCTTTTAAAGATTTTGCTTTATATCTCCTGATAAGTGGCTAACTACAGCCCCTAGATTTCAGTAACCAACTTTAAACAAAATAGCTTCCTATTCGCTATAATCCCAAAAAACTAGGATGGTATGCCTCATAGCCTATTATAAGTTTACAGGTTCTTTTTCTTGCCGTGTAGTGGCAGTTAAGAATATCGACTACCCCATATCTTCCCGTGGGTGTCGTAAAAGGCAACTTGCTCTATTACCGGGAGGGCGACCATCTGTCCCAAGGTGGTGTCGGATTTATCGTCCACAAGTCTCTCGTTAACAACGTTGTAAAGATTGAGAGTGTGTCGACGAGGGTTACATACCTTATACTCAGAATCACCAAACGGTATTCGCTGAAGGTCTTACAGGTTTACGCACCAACCTCGGCACACCCCGATGAGGAGGTGGAGGAAATGTATGAGGATATCTCTAGAGCCATGCATTCCTCCAAAACCCAATATACGGTGTTAATGGGAGACTTCAATGCAAAACTAGGCACAAGAGATAATGGTGAGCTGAAAGTAGGGAAATTTGGAATAGGGCAACGGAACCCAAGGGGCCAGCAGCTGGCCGGCTTCATGGAGAAAGAGGGACTCTTTATGATGAACTCTTTCTTCCAGAAGCGGCCCCACAGGAAGTGGACCTTATCGAGCCCTGACGGTTCGACAAAAAATGAGATTGACTTCATTATGACGACCAGACGACAACTGTTCAGTGATGTCTCAGTAATCGCGAGGGTGAAAACCGGCAGCGATCACCGAATGGTTAGAGGCACACTGAACCTAAACGTTGGAGAGGTCTCGTCTAATTAAGTCAACGCTCCGTCCCCCTCGTGCTCTAATCCAAAGTCCCGAAACCTTTCACCTCAACCTCGAGTTACTAAACCGTTTTCAGTGCCTAGAAGACTGCAATGAAGTGGACGATATGAATGACAAGCTCATGGAAACTGTCCATGCGGTCGGAGATAAGTTCTGCAAGACCCGCCGCAGAAGAACACAAAAACTCTCCGATCACACTCTTAATCTCATGGCTGTTAGACGGGAGATGAAGCTACATTCTTCAACAGATTTGACAGCATACAGGCAACTGAACAGACAGATCTCTAAATGCATGCGGCGGGACTTACGCAACTTCAATACAGCTCGTATTGAAGAAGCGATCGAGCGGAACCAAGGCTCCAAAGTCTTTGCCAGAGATCTGTCTGCCAGAAAGAGTCAACTGTCAAAGCTGAAGACAGAATGTGGCAGAATCGTTTCCGGGGCACCTGAGATTTTAAGTGAGATTGAGAGGTTCTATGGGCAGCTGTACACGTCATCGTTGGAGCCACACGCGAGTGTGAGTAACGATCCAAGAGCGAGTGTTATCCGACATTATTCAGATGATATCCCGGACGTCAGTCTGGGCGAGATTAGAATGGCTCTCCAGCACCTTAAAAACGGCAAGGCCCCAGGCGAGGATGGAATTACAGCGGAGCTTCTGAAAGCGGATGGAAAACCGGTACTTAGTCCTTCAGAAGCTCTTTCTCCATGGTGGCATTACACCGGAGGCGTGGAGCAGAAGTGCGGTGGTCTTATTCTTCAAGAAAGGTGACAACGCTCTCTTGAAGAACTACAGACCATTTCCCTTCTGAGCCGCGTCTACGTGCTGTTTTCGAGAGTCATTACGAATCGTCTCGCGCGCAGATTTGACGACTTCCAGCCTCCCGAACAAGCCGGTTTCCGAAAAGGCTTTAGCACCATAGACCACATACATATCCTTCGGCAAATTGTACAAAAGTCAGAGGAGTACAGTTTGCCACTATGTCTGGCGTATGTGGACTATGAGAAAACCTTTGATTCCGTCGAAATTTGGGCGGTGCTGCAGTCCCTTCAGCGGTGCCAAGTGGACTGTCGGTATGTCGAAGTGCTGAAGTGCTTGTACAGTAGGGATACGTTGGCTATCCGAGTACAGAACCAGAGTACGAAACCTATCCAATTGCAGAGAGGTGTAAGACAGGGTGACGTCATATCCCCGAAACTCTTCACTGCTGCATTGGAAGACGTTTTCAAGCTTTTGGACTGGAAACGATACGGTATCAACATCAATGGCGAGTACATCGCTCATCTTCGATTTGCCGACGATATAGTCCTTATGGCAGAATCGCTGGAGGACCTAAGCACTATGCTCAATGACCTCAATAGTGCTTCCCAACGGATAGGTCTTAAGATGAACATGGACAAAACAAAGATCATGTTTAATGTTCATGTCACACCTATGCCGGTAGTTGTTGGGAGCACTAAGCTTGAAGTTGTTGAGGAGTATGTTTACCTGGGACAAATAGTCCGACTAGGTAAGTCCAACTTCGACCGAGAGGTCAATCGACGGATTCAACTCGGTTGGGCAGCGTTCGGGAAATTACGGCACATCTTCTCGTCAGGTATACCTCAAAACTTGAAAACGAGACTGTACACCCAGTGCGTGTTGCCAGTGATTACATACGGAACTGAGACGTGGTCCTTCACTGCTGGCCGGATGAGGAAGCTCAAGGTCGCTCAGCGAGCTATGGGGAGGGCTATGCTCGGAGTTTCTCTGCGTGATAAACTCAGAAATGAGGATATCCGCAGTAGAACCAGAGTGACCATCATAGCCCATCGGATTATTAAGCTGAAGTGGCAATGGGCCGGCCATATAGCTCGAAAAACCGACAACCGATGGGGAAGAAAGGTTCTCGAGTGGCAGCCTCGTACCGGCAGGCGAAGTGTTGAGCGTACCCCCACTAGATGGAGTGACGACCTGGTAAGATATGCAGGAAATCGATGGATGCAGGTAGCTCAGGACCGTGCTTTGTGGCATTCCTTGGGGGAGGCCTATGTTCAGCATTGGACTTGTGAAGGGTGTAATGATGATGATGATGATGATGAGGTTCTTTTTCTCTTTAAACCATGACACCAGTGCATGCAGAATACCGATTGAGGGTAAAATTAAGTAAAGGAGTTTATAACAAACCAGATTTTTATAAAATATAAGATAGGGTGACAAACGAGCACGCAGTCCACCTGATGGTAAGTGATTGCTGTGACCCATAGACATCTACATTTATCCTCAATAAAGAATCAAAATGCAGATGCGTCGTCTCAAGATCCATGCTGTAGCTCTATTAATAGTATAGTTGTAGCACGAATGGGTCTGCTCGACCGGGGAAGGACCACGCTCTCATAGAATACCAGCGTAAAATAGCAGCTTAATGCTGCTGTGTTTCGTATGATGAATGTAGAGAACCGGAGACCCTTTTTACTGGAAAAGAAGCATTCTATTTCAGTCCTCAAGGCTGACAACGCATCTGCATTTTAATTCGCAAACGAAGATAGATGTAGATGTCTATGGGCCACAGCAACCACTTATCATCAGGTGGACTATGTGCTCGTTTGTAATCCTTATTCTATAAAAAAATATGCTTGACATTTCCCTGGGCAAGACAAAGGTGGATATTTACTGGAAATTTTCGTTCATAACGCTGCAAATGTTCTGGCGATATAAGAGAATCCATCACCTCGTCCTATGAGTTGTGTGCATCTCTTCTTCAAATAGTTATAGCCCTATCAATCGGAAGCCAGCTTTTTCTGGCATTTTCTAATGTCGCCTTTTACGACACTCGATGATGTCACATCGACACGTGATGGATTATTTTACACCGCCACCACACGTTTCGTTTTGGGTTTTGTTGCAAATAGTATAACAATAAATTTAAAATGCTTACATGTAAAAAAATCTTGATAAATTAGTTAAAGTGATCCAGTGGACAAAAAAAAACTTTTTGCCCTAAACCAATGCTAAAAATTCATTGATAAAATTTTAAGCGTAGATACCTAATGTTTTTATGCTAATGTCGTATTAAGTCATACATTATTTATTCACTCAGCGCAAAACAAATAAGTATATCTTAAAGGTAACTCTTATCATACATAAACCAACCATCATGTTATGTTATTTTTTCTTAAAACGCTATCAACAATTATTTTGTGTAGAAAAAGAAACTGCTTATTTAACATTTTATCATTTTCATTCCACACTCATTGTTAAAACATTCAAGTAAATGTAATTGCTAATTCGTATTTTGTACAACATGACACGCTAACAAGTTATAATTGTATATTTTAATTTGGAACTACTTCAAATTTCTTTTCGGTAATCACTTTACAAGATAGCTTCATTTCTAAGAAGCTTGTACTATGCGATCAAAAAACTTTATAAATATTCCATTTCCAAGTAGCGCAGCGGATGCGGCCACACTTGGCTTAACATCTGCAACTTGAGTTACACCGACTGCCTGCTACGTGCATATAAATAAGGAACTACTTGCTACGGTGGCCCTAGTCGTAAATTGAAAGAAAAAACGTAAGTCACGCTTAAGAAATTTACATATTATTTCCTAAGCGTGACTTACTTTCCATTATATTACTTATTATAATAGAAAGCGCAACAAACGATTAGTTTTAAGTGAATTAATAACTTAAATAAAGTAACTTTAATTTTAGCTTTAAGTTGTTGAAGTGAATTGAATATTTTTTTATATAGGATAGGGTGACAAACGAGCACACAGTCCACCTGATGGTAAATGGTTGCTGTGGCCCATAGACATCTACATCTATCCTCGTTTACTCCTCGCAGATGCGTTGTCACCCGTGAGGACTAAGATGGAATGCTTCTTTTCCAGTAAAAAAGGTCACCGGTTCTCTACACTCACCATACGAAACACAGCAATGATAAGCTGCTATTTTACGCTGGTATTCTGTGAGAGCGTGGTCCAACCCCGATTGAGCCGATCCATTCGTGCTACAACTATACTACTAATATAGCTACTGCATGGCTCTACCACGTTAAAAACTATTATATTGAATATTTCATAGAACGTACTGTGTTAATTATTTATCTTACCTGTGGTCTCGTAAATGATCTTGTCTTCGGAATGCTTTGCCACAGATGTCACAGGAGTATGGGCGTTCGTCCGTGTGAGTTCTCTCGTGGATAAGGAGATTGTACGATTTAGTGAACTGTCGATTGCAGAATTTGCAAATAAACTGTTTCTTCGGTCGCGATGCTCTACCCGGTGCTCTCAGCAACCGTCGGTCTATGTGCGGGTGCATTTGATGTGGACCTGCTCCCGGTGGGAACAACCCAGCACCAGGAAACGTGAAACTATTTGCAGTTGTCGGTGAAGGACCTGGGGCTCCTAGGAATGCGCCAGGAGGACCGTATATTGGGGGGCTTGAATTGTCTGATATAATTCCTTCTATTGAAGGTGTTCTATGATGAGGTAGAAGCATGGCAGCTGCTGCTTCACGTAATGCTACTTCTTTTCTTTTCTCGACCATCATAGCCATTAAATCAAAAGAGTTCCTTTTCGTAAAGTTACCAGAATTACGGTCCGGAGATCCTTTTGCTGGCTCCGATCTTTCCCTGTCCAACATTCTTTCACGTTCAATTATTTCAGAAGGCATCAACGCTGGATGCATTTCGTTAGGATAAATCACAGGGTGTATTGCTCTTGTTGGTACTACAGGAACAAAAGCTGAAGATTCACGATGTGTGGATGTGAGGAGTGAGCCAGTCGTCATCTGACGGTGATAAGGTATTGCCGCGTCGAAATTTCCATTTGGGTTTCGACCGCTTGATGATGGTCTTTGTTGCGTTCTTTCAGTGGAGCTGGCGAGGAACTGGTCATGTCTGGAACGCAGTGGAGCACTAACAGGGTTGTCTCCAGTAGGACGTGGTGTAGACGCCCGTGATACAACCGTTCCGGTGTTGTCCGACATTACGGTTGAAAATTCATCTGAAAGAATAAAAAAAATATTTAATTTTGTTTATATACCTAGTGTGAATTTCTACCGCTAAAAGATGTCATATGTCATATCTTAGTTTACCTAAATATTTTTTAAAGAAACAACGGCGTAGTAAAAATCAATCAATCTCTTTGTTTCGTTGATTACTATCTTTAAAGCTTTCACTAGTTGACTGTTAACTCACATAACGCAATTCGAATAGAGTTATTTGGAGTAAAAATATAACATTATAATATAATTATTATAATATATTATTTATTACAAAACGATTTAACTAATTTAACTAGTAAAAGGAGAGAAATTAATGATCACTTGAATGTACTGTGCCAAAGATGTGCACATATAAGTGGTACTTAAAATAAAAATAAAAATTTGTACAACCGACTTCAACATAAGTTTAATAATTTCGTAACGTAATCGATTAACTCGAAAACTACTGATCTTGAATATTGATTAAATTTATATGGAACCACAAGAGAAGCGTCAGCTTTCAAATAAAAAAAGAATCATCAAAATCGATTCGCCTAGAAAAAAGTTATGAGGTCACAAACATAAAGAAAACAATAAAAAATACAGTTGAATTGAGTACCTCTTCCTTTTTGAAGCCGGTAGAAAAGAAAATAAAGTAAGAATACGCAAATAATTTCCATACAAAACGCTTTAAACAATTAAATAAAAGCATTTTGGTTGTATGAGGACGGGATAATACTCGTATAACTAAAACAGTTACGCAAACAAATAGTAGAATTGTTGCCGCTTAATTGATTTGATTTTGAACATAGGCGAAAATTAAAATAGTAGTAAGTATTTATAACTATAATAATAATAATAATAATAATTCTTTATTATCAAAAATAAATCACAAGAAATTTTATGAAGTCTCTGACTCCTAAACTAGACGAGTCTGTATCTTAGGAATCAGCGGCATCTCCCAGAGTTGTACTAAAAGAACAGGTAAGACTAAAAGAACTATGCATGTTTTCATTGTTGAAACAAAAGAAAAGTAAACAACTTTACCAATTTAACAAATTTACAAAATTAAATCAAAAAATAATAAAAGTTGTAATATAATAAAGTATTCTATATGTGTTATATTTAATACTAAACATCTATACTATACATATATTTAATATACATATATACAAGACGAGCACACACATATATATGTGTATATATACTTATATAATTATCAAATATATATATATATATATATATATATATATATATATATATATATATACATACATAAATATTAAAGTTCATAAATAAATTATGCATAAACATAAACGAAACGTTAATATTAATTGTCCACACATTAATTACTTCCCTGTTTTTGTTTATTTATTTATTTTGAAACTATAAATTAAATTAATAAAGTAAATTAAATCAAATTAAATTAATAAATTTTCTGTTTTATTGTAATCTAATGACAAAAAAAAACTAACTAAATAACTGTCTTTTAATTACTTTTATATCACGTGAGTACTATACACATTGAATACAGCTATTTTTCGGACTTAACAATGATCGGTATTAATTTTTAAATCCGAAAATTAATTTTATGTTGGTGCTGCAAAGCATTCGAACCGTCGTTGGGAGTAAGAATTAAATCAAAAACGATAAAATCCGTTAAAATATTTTGATAGAATTATCTACTATTGTATAAGCCTGGAGATTTATTGTTTAATTTAAATTAAGTAATAATAAATGAAAAATACTAATTAAATACAAAGGAAAAAGAAAAGACAATTTACTCGTAGTCGTCTTCAAGGCAAGAGTGAATAGGCTTTTGTTACGCTAACATAGTGCGATTTACCATTTAGGGCTTCATCACCACTTACCACCAGGTGGGATTGTGGTTAAGCATGGACTTATAGTAAGTAAAAAAATACATATAAATTGCGATTTAAAATAATTTTCATTTACCGCGTCTGTTATAAGTATTACAAAATGTATACATGACCACAGACATTAAAACCTAGGATATCACATAATAACACCATGTGACTGAATTTTTTTACACTTCTCTGCTAGCAGGTGTTGTTCATGTAGATTTATGGATCGAAAAACATACTTAATTAGGTAGCTGTACATTGTTACCACTTACTAAGTTCATTACCATAAAAAACCTATTAGTTCCCATAGAACATTACACGTGAAACAGTCGATAATACAGCGATAGATTATGAGCTACGTTAAATTTATTTTGATTTGGAATTCTTTGTCACAAAAATTAAATTATCGATTTTTGTAAGAGTATATTTTTTACCTTTTCACCAGCTTTTAACCATACAGTGCCAGAAATTGATCGTTTCCATTGTAGGAAGGATTGGATTTGGATTCGGTTGGCGACCTCCCTTCAACACTGCTACCCATTGCCGGTCTCAGTATTTTAGATTCGGCATAAATGATTATTTTAAATTTGGCATAATAGTCTTTCCGGTTCTAACGTTTCTTATAGAACTTCTGCTCATCTACTGTTGTATTTTAGTTTGAAGAATATGAGAGCTAGTATAATTATAAGCGCTTCATGCATGTTTTCTGGAGTGCTAGCGCATTCACAATATATTTTCTTTTTTTTTTGAAGTTGGTTTTTATGAACCGTATCGTTGGTACTTACAACTTGTACTTTCCTTGTCATTATACAGGATTATTTTGCAATAATCGGCCAAATTTACAGGTTCAAAATAAGTAACATAGGCAAATGGTGAAGAAAAATTAATAAAAAAAAATATTCAACCATTCTGTCCTTTTTAACTTTTAAATTCAAAATGCGTGGTAATGCATAATTTTAACTGGTTTCCCTGCGCACGCAAACATTCGTAAGAGTCGATCGGTAGGCAAAAACGTTGGTGCCCATAAATCACATTCAATTTGGGATAATTTCAAATAATATTAGAAGCCTTATTTACTTGTATTTTCAAAAACTGGAATAACGGTATATCATTATTTATATATTTGAACTTAAGTTTAAAATATGTTTTTTTTTATAAACTAACCCTGTGTAATACTAGAATAACATTATTCTTTTTTACAATTGTATTTTTATCGTTATTTAAAATTACGAGTCAATAGTCATTTTATCGAAGAGTAAATGGATCTTGTTTTTGGCAAAATTAAGGTGACAAACAAACTAACAGTCACTCCAATATTTACTGCAGATCATGGACAGTGGACACCTAAAACCATCTTCACACAAAGAAGGTTACAGAAGTGCTTTAATCTCCGAGTGATAAGATGGAATGCCTCACAGTCTATAAAAAATCTTGCTTCCTACACCAAAAGGAGCACGCATTTACTGTTTTAAAATAGAAATAGATACCTGCCCAGATAGACACAAAGACAGAGAAGGAGTCCTTGTTATCTAGAGCATATTAAACAAATATCCTAAAAATCCTAATGAATTTGTTTATAAAAGCATACAAATTCAGCTAAAATTTTACTGTTGTCCAATATTTAATTTTTTCTCATGTATCATTCAACAGTTTATACTCAATAGTGTCGAATTTTAGCTACTGGTGATATCAAAAATGTTAATGGCGACCGGATTCAGATTGGAAACCGATATTAATGTCCATACTTGATATGTTGCTATCGATCGCTTAGAATTCCAGTTATGTTTTCTTTTGTTTTATTTGAATCACTGATTAATAATTATGATCGTATTTTATATTGCTTTTTAAAATTTATTATAATATGTTGCCAGTTAATCAAGAATTTTCTAAAAGTATATTTAAAAGTATATTCAAAAAACTATATTTAAAATAATTAAAAATTAAAAATTTTGTACAGCGGACTTCAATATAAATTATTAAGAATAACTCAAAAACTATTGGTCTGACCTTGATCAAATCCATATGGAACCACATGTAAAGTACCAGCTTTCAAATAAAAAAAGTATCATCGAAATCGGTTAACCCAGTAAAAAGTTATGAGGTTATTTATTGAGTACTGTCTCCTTTTTAGTCGGTTGAAAAAGACGTTACTACTTTAAACGTTACCACACTACGATTTTCTCTTGTATCGTGGAGGAAGTTTACATACATAAATTGCACATGAACAAACATCCAGACCCGGAACAATTATTTATAGGCCTTACAAATATTCTTTCCGTACGGGATTGGAACCCGTGGCCCTCAGCGCTGCAACTCATTGTTAAGCCACTGCACCATGGAGCCGTTTTCATATTATTATATATCACATATTCCTATTTCATATCACATATAATATAATAAGTTGAATTATTTTTCTTCTACAGCAACTCATAAAAGTGCACTGGTGGACAGCAGCCTCTTAAGTCGTAGGGAGGGTTTAATTTTATTGTCACGCTTGAGCAGGTGGATTGAAAATTGCAGTGCCAGCCGTCTCGCACCTTTGTCATTGATGCGTAAACGAGGTGGTTATACCGCCATATATCGAAAGTCATAAGGTTGTTCTGATATTTCCTATAGTCGCATCTTACCACGGGCCGAAATGAGTTGAGAGATCCTCATATGCCGCTGCCACATGGTCAGCGGAATTAATAACTGTTTATTCATAATAACAAAGTGTTATGCTCTTGTTTATTTAACAGTAATAACATCACTAAAGACCGTTTCGAGGTTTACGATAGGTTTGACTGTTTCCATCTGAAAGGGCATCAGGACCGACGACAATAAAACGCACTGACAACTTAACTACTGCGAGTATAACGACTGAATGTTTTCATAAGGTTTCCGGTGTATGCCATTGCGTATTATATCTTTGAAGCTATAATTGGGACTCGGAGATAATTACAGTTTACATAAATCTTAATACATTAAGTAAGCAATGCTTATAATTGGTTTCTCGGAAACGGCTTAAAAGATTTGAATGTAGTTTGGTAATTAGATAATATTTTAATTTTCAAATGAAATTAGATAAATGCCATCCCCAGTAAAATATATTCTTTTATTTTTTTATAGCCGAGCAACGCTCCGTCCTCCCAGGTGCTA